CCCAAAAAACAGGGAACACCCCCCAAAAATGGGCACACCCCGAAAGGGACCACCCCAAAACCCCTCCGAACCAAAGACGAACACACCCCCCCAAACCAGGACCCCCCCCAGCACAGAAACACCCCCAAATCCAAGGAATTTCCCCCTGGGGCCCTCAAATAAAGGCACAGTGAGACTGAGGAGAGTGTCGTGATTTTGGGGGGGGGGGGGGGAAAAGGTACATTTTGGGGGGGGGGAAAAGGCACATTTTTGGGGGGGTTAAGGCGCATTTTGGGGGTTTTCGGGCATGTCTCCACAGTGACCTTCCCAAGATGGCGGAGGGGACGCGACATTTCCCGACCTCCTCACGATGGTGGCGAGGCCTTTTCCTTCCCCCACGTGGTGTTTGACCGAAGCTGGGGAGTTGGGGCCACTTTGGGACTTTGGGATCATTTTTGGGAGGTTTGGGATCGTTCACGGCGTTTTTAACTGAATTTAAGCCGCGCTTTCTGTAGCTCGTTTGGACTCCGCCCTCCCCAAGACGGCGACGCGAATACGTCTCTCCCTCCTCAGAATGGCAGCCCCCTGCGGTGTTCCCTCCGTGCTCCGTCGAGCACATCTGGGGCCGTTTGGGACACATCTGGGGAGCTGTTTGGGCTCACTTTGATATTTAGGATAAATTTACGGCGTTTGGGTCCCTCCGGGCGCGTTTTAACTCATTTCGGAGCCAGATTTGTGGCACATTCGGACACCGCCCTCCCCAAAATGGCGGCGCCCTGTGTGTTCCCGCCCTTTTTCCGGCCATGGCGGCCGGAAGTCGCCTCAGAGCCACTTCCGCCTCCCCTTCCTTTCCCGCTCTGCCCTCACGAAATGGCGGCGGCCGAGTCGTTCCTTCCCTTCGGCCCCGGGGCCCGGAGCGGCCCCTCCGCCGCCTCCCGCCGCCGCTCCCGCGGGCCCCGCAACCGCAAGAAGGGCTGGAAGCGCTGGAGCGGCCCCGAGGCGCGGCTGGGCCGCGAGATCGGCGATTTCCTCGAGGACGTGGGGCTGCAGGAGCGGGCGGCGGGGTGAGGAGGGGGCGGGAGGGGGTTTTGGGGGGTCATGAAGGGGTTTAAGGGGGTCATGAGGGGGTTTGGGAGGTGGTGAGGGGGTTTTGGGGGTCTCTAATTTTTGGGGGGTCCCGAACTTTGGGGGGGAGGCTCCTTGAGGTTTAAGAGGGTCCCTAATTTTGAGGGGGGATCTCTAATTTTGTGTGTGCGTGTCTTTTTTCAGGGGCCTGATCTCGGAGCAGCCCAACGAGGGGCTTTTCTTTGTGGACACGGGAAATGCCCCCAAAGGTGAGGGGTTTTTTTTTGGGGGGGACCCCCCAAATTTCACTTTTCCCCTCCCTGAGGGTTTTGGGGGTCCCTGAACTCCTCTGACCCCCCCAGGCCGACGCCTCAGGAGGACCCCAGAGAAGCCCCTTCACGTGGACCTCGTTCTCCAGCCCCTCTCCAAGGTGCCCCCTCCCAAAAAGTGAGTCCAAAGGGGCGATTTTTGGGGTGACACCCCAAAAATGTGGGTTTGGGGGGGGATTTGGGGGGTTCAGAGTCCCTAAAAAGTGAATGGGGGGGGATTTGGGGGTTCAACCCCCCCCAAAAGTGAGTTTTGGGGAGGATTTTGGGGGTTCCAACCCCTCAAAAATTTAGGTTTTTTTGGGGGTTCAAGCCCCCCAAAAAGCTGAGTCTGAGGGAGGATTTTGGGGTCCAACCTCCCCCTCCCAAAAAAAAGAGTGAATTTTAGGGGGATTTTTGTGCTCAAACTGGATCTGGGGGAGGATTTTGGGGCTCAACCCCCCCAGAAAAACTGAGTTTTGGGGAGAATTTGGGGCTCAAACCCCCCAAAAAGTGAGTTTGGGGGGGATTTGGGGGGTTTAAACCCCCAAAAAACGAGTCTGGGGAAGGATTTTTGGGGTCAAACCGCCCCAAAAAAAGTGAGTTTGGGGGGGTCCAAACCCCCCAAAATGAGTCTGGGGGCTCATTTTTGGGGGTCCCACCCCCCCC